ACTAAGGTATTTGAGGCATATAGATGTTGTTCCTGCTTCTTTTTCTTTTAGTTTTTTGGAAGTCCTTAGAAATATGTTCTAGCCATTCCAGATACAATTAAATTTTTTGAAATCTACTTCGGAATTTCTTTAAATATAGATATTTCCTGTTGCTGTTAAGTGTTTTGACCCTACTACATGCTGACAAACAGGTTCTATCATGCTTTCCTTTTCATTCTAAAGCTTTAGCAGTAATGGAAGCCATATATTAGTTAAAATTGGCATTCAGTTTCTAATCAGTTACTCCCTGTCTGATGTAAAAAAAAAAAAGATTCCTGCTTTATTTGTTCTCATTTAAAGCATGTGCCTGCTTTTAGATTATCTATGACACTGAGAGGAGAATAGAATAGGAGATGGAGGGGGTGGGTGGTATGATGCTCAGAGGATCAAGTGTCAGGAAAATCATTCACTCCATCCGGATGAGCCCATCATTTTGTTATTTTCCATCAGGAAACATGGAGATTTCATGCTTCCTGAGCTGCCGCTGGCGCACAGACAACACACTTCCAATAGACACTTACTCATACTGCTCGAAGTCAATGACATGACCTATATGTGTGTCTTTGAAGTAATGCATCATGGATGATGGAGAGGTAGAGTGTATAGAAAAGAGTTACCACTACAGCAGATGGGGAGCGAGCGATTGAAGGTCATTTGCTCGCATGGTCAGAGGAAGCTGAGTGTGAGGAATGAGCCAGATTAAAGACAAGTGAGAGGAGGAGGAGGACATGGCAAGACATGAAAGAGAGCACTGCAGCACTCTGAAGAACAAGCTGCCTTTGCTTCAAGACAACTTGACAACACTCACCGTGTAAAGGTGGGCAGATTTAGAGGCAGCTTCACCCCTCAGAGCGGAGAGGGGGAGAAGGGAAGGGGAGGAGGGCTTCCCGGCTGAGCTGAAGCAAATGCCAAAACAGCCAGAGGACTCCTCCACATACAAACATGCAAACAAACACACAAACACTGAAAACCAACGATCAGCCCTCGCTTCCCTCCAGAGGCAGCATGCAAACAAACCGAGCGTCCCAAGAGGGTAAAACAGCATTCCCACTTTTTTTTTTTTTTTTTTACCCCCTTCTCCCCATCACTGCATCGAGCCAATCAACATCCCAAACACGCAGAAGCGCACGCATACTCTCTGACTGCTCTGTCAAGCTTGCAGGCGCATTCAAAAGATCCTCAAAGAAAAGAGAAGAAACGCATAAGCAGGATGTTTACAGTTTTAGGGAGAGAGAGAGAGATGGAGTGAGGGGGTGTGCGTGCCGCTCATCAGCTTCTCCGGCAAGACTTTCCTGCCAGCCAATCAGAGGTCATGCAGCTCTGACAGCGGGCCTATAGGAACAGAGTGCTGGCTATGGCAGTGTTGCTGCAGCACAGCACAATGACAGTTGGCACCGATTACAGTGTCAGCAGGTACCATTAATGGAGACTCAAGGGCACATATCCACACGGAAATGAGGGAGTGTGTCAAATTAAAGTCTACAGAAGACCATTATATGGCAAACAGAAACAACGACAGTTATTATTCACTTACTTCACAGTTTATAGAAAATAGATTTTTAAAAGCTCAGATTTTGACTTAAAACTGTGTGAAATGTTTATCGTTTTCACAATTATATGGAAAAAAGAAACATAGCTGCAAATTCATTATGCCAATGTTTGAATCTGACCTAATAAGTTTGCAGGAGCAAAAATCACTTAATAGAATAAAACCATTAAAATAACAAAAACCCCTACCATCACCTACTAGAAGTAATTAACAGAAAAGTCACAGACAATCTAGAAAGGGTTAAAACATTTTCTGCCACAGTACCCAAATTACTCCAAGAGTGTATTACGCACTCATCCAGGAGCCCTGCAAGAATCCTCCATAAAATCAAATGTATTTACGGGAAAATTGATGGGAAAATATTCTGTAGACGGTAGAGGACTATTTCTAAGAATTTGTGCCCAGTGGAAAAAACAAAAAGACACAGGCAGTACAGTGTGTGTAGAGAACATTTATAAACTAAATTCATAAAAAGATTCCAGAATAAATCCTTTTATCTTGTTCCAGCCACAAAGTGTGTTTTATTTGAATGAACATTATAACATTAAAGTTATAATGAGCGGAGAATATAGCATATGGTTTTCAAAATATAAACACATAAACAAATGTTAATATAGTTATCCTTCTGAGAAAGCTAGTTCTATAACCAGCTGCGTTTATAGCTGCAAGTTTCTTTGGGGATGCTTCAAAAAGCAGCTTCACACGTCGTAGAGGCTCTAACAGGTTTTACTTCAGGTTTGCCATATATTTAAGTCTATGCATCTTTTTACTAATCAGCTCTGACCAGCTTTCCTGTCCCCTGCATGCATCCAGCCACCATGTTTTCTGCATAGTTTTTGTATGCATTGTTTCCAAAATTAAGTTTGCTTTAATAAGAACAGATTAAAATGTCTTCTTCTTTTATTTTGGAAAACATAAAATATTTGTTTTTGACCTGTTTTGAAAGAAATAATATTTCGTTCTGTATCTCTGCTTCTGTCTCCTTGAACCCCAGTCGGCCTCAGCAAATTGCCGCTCACACTGAGCGTGGTTCTGCTGAAGGTTTCTTCCTGTTAAAAGGGAGTTTTTCTTCTCCACTGTCGCTACAAGCATGCTTGGTGTGAGGGATTGCCTCTGAGTCAATGAGTTGATGCAGTACGCTGGTTTTCCTTAGATAGAAAACTTTGTAGCCTTATTATCTGGTTAAACTGTCTCTGTAAAGGGTCTTGAGATGACATGTGTTTTAAATTGTCGCTATATAAATAAGCTGAATTGAATTGAACTTCCATTTTCAAATGACAGCAGAATCTCCTGTCTAAGCAGTGGATCTCTGCTTCTCCTCCATCATAAAGATGTAGCAGCTGAGCTGTTGACAAGTTTTTTTTCTTTCAATTCTAACCAGATCACCAGTCTTTAAGCAATTCCTCATGTAGCCTGGAAACCAGACAGCTTATATGTGCGCCATTACAATATCTAACCTACTTGTGCTGCTGTCACAAAGAGTCTCCTGACTGGCACTGCAGGTTGGCAGCGGATTGATGGACAGAGAGGCAGGGCAGGAGACCGGCTCTGGATGGTCCACAATTGGCAGGGCTGCTGAAGCCTCGGAGTGAACACCGTCGGGACTGGGGAGGTTCTGGCTGCTCGATTCAACTGGACTCTTCCAGTGGGAGAAACCGATTTCCACCTGACCCCCGAGATCGAACCCTGTCAAACAAAACATGCAGGATACAGACAGGTGATTGGGACTCTGAGCAGATGTGAAAAAGGTTTTGGTAAAACAACACTGCCCTCTACTGGTGCCAGGTCAAAAATGTTAACAAACCCTAAGAGGTTATAAAGAAAATATGCAGAAGATTGTCAATAAAAAAGAATAAATATAAAAAAGTAATAATTTTAAATATATTCAGAATAAAAGTAGTTTTCCAGTGCAGGTTTAGCAGAGTGAAATGCTCTGAGGCTCCTCTCTGCCACTCTTATTATCTGCTGCTCTCTTGCTTTGTGAAAACCTGCAGACTGCTGATCTGGCCTCCAGCCTTCGATTTTCCCTCTAAAGGCTTTTCCTTCAGCATTACAACGTCTCCAAGACTGGTGACCCAATGGAGCTGAGCTGTCTGCTGCAATCTGATTCAGTTTTGTCTTTTAGAAACTGATGGCTTGAACACGGACATCATGCTTAGAGACAAGCTAAAACTACTGAAATATTGTTTCATTCAATGTCATTCAACACAGAATAAATTATACATCCAAAGTGGATGCCTCTTAACCTGAATGCAGTAGTAAAGTGATGTATTTATTGAGGTTTAAAGCCCCATTTTATCCAGAAAAGGTGGAGATTTACTAAAGTACAGGTAAGAGTAAAGATTGCACTGAAAAGACACTTAATTTCTTCTCATTCTGAAGTTAAATCTGACTAACAGTGGGCTCTTCAATTAAATCTTTAAAAATTAGTCTCTATTTTGTAATTTAAAAATATTGAGAGAAATAATGGAATAATGTAGCTTTGCAGCCTTTTGATAGGCTCATTTAAAGTATCTAAGTAAGTAGGAGCCAGTAAATGTGTTTTAATGGAAGACCTTAAACATATTGCTTGCTTGTGTTGCCTATTTCTGACTTCTAAAACTAAATCCGAACCGTTTAGCAGGGGGCTACTTAAGTACAACCTTCTACAAGGAGTTGCTGGTTATCTTCCCAACTTCTGTTATTAAGTCTATTTTGGCAGTTCTAGACTCAAACAAACAACTAGACCATATCTGCAGAGAGAATAATCAGGGTTGACCTTCCCACCATCCAGAGCATGTGCAGATCTAGGGTGAGGATAAGGGCTGATAATACCTCTATAGACTCCACATATCCTGGATACAAACTCTTTAGACTGTACCTCTCAGGCTGGAGAAAATTGAATCATGAGTAAAAACTATGTCTAAGAGCTTTCTTCCTTGAGCCTGTTACCCCATGAAAACAATGTATACCTTCCTCCCTGCTCAGTGAGCAAAACATAACAGGAGCTATTACAAACTGCCTTCCTTTCTTTTTATAAATGAAATGTCAGTACACAAACGTGTACATTCTGTTCCTTCTATTCTTTTTTATATCTATACTTCATGTCTGTATGAACTGAGTACATTAAACCAAAGTCACATGTCTTTGTACACCCAGTTTTGTGCAAATAATGTGTAAAATAATTTAGATTGTAATGAGTATTGTTGCATTTGGAGGAAAACGGGGCTGAGAACACTTTATGGGAAGCACATCATGTTTTATTGGTGTTTTGCTGCAGGGGAAACTGTTGTACTTCACCAAAAGGAGGAAATCATGTGAAAAGAACATTAGCTTGAAATATGGAGGCAACATCTCAGAACAGCAGCCAGGAAGTTAAAGCTTGGTTTAAAAGGGACCAAAGGATAAAGATGCCCCCAAGTTAGCAACAAAGGGGCCCTAAGATTACAGGTATTTTTTTTTTAGGGCCATTTGAGCCAAAAGAAGCATTTTCATTCTCAGATAGAAAGAGTAGCAGATTGCAGAGATAACTCTGTTCTCCCAGAAGATTTATTTAAATAGACTATCAAAATGAAAGGATTTTGAGAGGTTTGTTGAAAGTTTACCAAAATGTTAAACCCAAATCTTAGTTTATACTTAACTGTAGCCTATATGAAGAACAGACGTTACAAAAATAAACATCTAAAGTAACATTACTGTATTGTTTTTAAAGTAGAAACAAATCTAGTCATCCAAACTAGATCAAAAGCATTATAATTTTATGTGGTAGAAATAAATGTTACTGGATGTGTGTTTTCAAAGAAAGTAGTCCAATTGTATAAGAAAATTAGCATGGGTTCTAACATGGAGCCTTGTGGTATCTCAGAATGGAAACCCCCGAGTGGTATGCATGTCTGGAACCTTTAAGTGCTTTAATGGTCGAGGTATGACAGAAAAATGTGACTGACTGCATTAACGAATGTAGCCAAACCAAACCAGAGACACATCTGCACTACATTTTGAATAACCCATATTTTACAGCAGCTTTGGAAAAAAACAATCACCAGACAAAACATGGATGTTAAATAGTTTTATTTATATTTTCTTTTTTTAAGTGGATATCATAGTTTTTCCATCACATTTTAAAAACGATAATCAGGTAAAAAATGCAATTTGAAAGTTCTCAGCTGAAGGGTACTAAATAGTACGCATTACTCCTTTAACCGTAATTAAAACTGAAATACTGCGATTGAAACTGTTTTTTGGCTTCAAAGACCCCACAGAAAATGTGAAGATTTCATTTTTACAACAATGACATCTAATTAGGATGTAACCTAAAATTCATAATGCATAACAGTAGATATGCATTTGTCATTAAATCTACAGCAATACCCAACTTTTTTTGTCGCAGTTTGCCCACAGAGCCAACAGGTCTGTGGATGACTTACTACATCCTTAAGCAGCCAAACTCCCCAGGAACCCAGACCAAGATACTGTTTGTGAACATCAGCTCTGCCTTCAACACTTTAATTCCTGCTGCAGGACGAGCTCTTGTTGCTGAGTGTACCTGATTCTACCAGCAGGTGGATCAGTTTTCTTGACAGACAGGAAGCAGCATGAGAACCACTTTGGTCTCCTTTTGATTGTTGGGAACCATCAGGACCTCAAGCGAGAGCTGAACATCCCATCCACCATTTCACATGATGGACTGAGCTGGGTCTGTGAGATGTTCAAATCTGATGATGCTCTTTAAGACCTTCCTTTATCAGGTATTGGTTTGAAATTATTTGTGTTATATCACTAACACTGGGTGTTGAGTAGATTTGAAAGGCAAAGCAATCCCTTGCTTGGAGGGTAAACTCTCACATCCAACGCTGCTTTCAAAGAGAACTTCTCTTGGTTTACATGCTCTATATCTACACATCACTGTAATTGTTCTCTAGGTCCATAACATACCATCTGTTACCATTTTTAATGGTTGTTGATCCGAAACCAATGGCCTTCTTTGACCAACTAGTTTAGTTGCTTTTGCAACCAATCTATTCTTAGAGTGTGGGATAATACTTGACATTATAAACTCATTGTCAAAAAAAACTGAACATGAATTGTAAATGTATATTTCAGCAGCAGCAGAATGAGTCTAAACAAATGTCCAGGTCAGTAGAAATGCCCCCCAAACCCCTCAACCTTATCATAACTGCATAACCTTATTATGCAGTTTTATTATACAAAATGTACACATGAAAATCCTTTTCTCATCCACAGCTTGTATTACCGCCCTCTGTACAGAGGTGAACAGAAGAGCAGGGAAGGTTGGATCAATTATATGATAGCCTCACATATGCAGGTGTATCAGTTACTGTTGCACAGTCTGGGGTAGGAATTCAGCTTTGTTATGGTGTTCTTTACACAGCACAGTGAAGCTGCTAACTGTTTTGAAAAGCATAATTTCTCATAATGTTGGTTGTGTTCACAGCAAAAAAAACTGTCTTCAAACATCCTGTTCTCTAGACTGGATATATACGGTACGTCACATGAATACATCATTTGGTATATTCAGATATTATTTCAAATCCTGAAAGTTAGATTCCATCCATCCATCCATCCATCCATCCATCCATCCATCCATCCATCCATCCATCCATCCATCCATCCATCCATCCATCCATCCATCCATCCATCCATCCATCCATCCATCCATCCATCCATCCAATATTTGTAACTTGTATTGTGATAAGGGCTTCAACAGTGTGACTTGGTCAATGCACTATATCTAAACGAGCCTTTGATTCCATAAAGATTTGAGTGTAAAATGTATTAATTCTAAGTGGATAATCTTCAAGAGATTTCATAAAAGTCAATGGAAATGGATGAGGGAGGAGGCGAGGAGCTGTAATCAACACCTGGCCTGTATCCGGATGACCTCCAAAACTTGCAAAGCATGGACATAGTGTGTTCTAAGCAATATATCTCTGTTGCAGTCATCAAAAAAAAAAAGTGCCCTCCTGGCTCAGTGAGGAGAGCGAGGCCTAGATACGTTAGCTCCTTCACTTCCTCACATCCTTGGAGCCAACCAAACCAGAGGCAGGTGCAGATATCTGGGGCATCCTGTGCACCCTGCTTTTACAGGCCTGAGCCATTCTGTACAGAGTGTGCTCAATAATTGCTCTATGAATGTTCTCTTTGACAAACACAGCAATTAGCCAAAGAAAAGTCATTTCTCCTACTTTGAAAGCAAAATATTGTTTATCTGCTTTTTTTCAAAGAGATTCCCAGTGATATAGATAACGCTTTTTTGAACATTTGTGTTGACAGAACAAAGTTTAGAGAAACAAGTTTAACTTCATGTTTAATCCACCTTTGATATGTAGATACTGAAAGTTTTGTGGATTCTTCTCTGCAAAATAACTAAACCACACTCAGATTTGATGAAGATCATCTGTGAACATTTCTTTTTAAGTTTAAAGTCTTCCTATCCACTCTGATCTGCTTCCCAGTCGCTGTCTCTTTAAGCTGCCACAGTGTTTCACCGTAGAATGGTGGCACAGCATGATTTGTTTGTGAGTCTTTCCTCGACTACATCTGCCTTACTTTTCAAAAAACAGGGCTTCAGACTTGCATACTGCTGTAGCCCTTATTTTCTACATACTTTGGTTGTGGTTTGGACTGTTGANCTTTGATATGTAGATACTGAAAGTTTTGTGGATTCTTCTCTGCAAAATAACTAAACCACACTCAGATTTGATGAAGATCATCTGTGAACATTTCTTTTTAAGTTTAAAGTCTTCCTATCCACTCTGATCTGCTTCCCAGTCGCTGTCTCTTTAAGCTGCCACAGTGTTTCACCGTAGAATGGTGGCAAAGCATGATTTGTTTGTGAGTCTTTCCTCGACTACATCTGCCTTACTTTTCAAAAAACAGGGCTTCAGACTTGCATACTGCTGTAGCCCTTATTTTCTACATACTTTGGTTGTGGTTTGGACTGTTGATTATGTCAAGAGTGATGGGAACCAAGCTTCACATTCCATATTTGTGCACAAAAACCTGCCAAATAAAGTCACTCTATCTCTGATTTCTATTTATTATCTATTCTGCTCAACTTATTAACTTCATTAATGTTGTTTGTTTCCGAATGTTCTCCAACAAACTGTTTAGGCCTTCACAGAGGAGCTTCATTTATATGTAACATATTGATATATGAGATTGAACACTAAATGAATGGACCCTATTTACTAATTATGTTACTTGCAGCTGACTGGTTCATCTTGATTTTATTTGGGGTTATCCGGACAAAGTTGACTGAGCTACACTTTAGAAACCTAGAACACTCAGCATCTAAATCAACTAGACTTTTGCCTTTTCTGTGTTTTACTTTAAGCTATAGCACAAAACAGCAGCAAACATCCAGTAAGAGCAATTCAATGCTTTCAGCCCGAAGGTATACAATCTAGAGGGAAAGCATGGATCCAACCCAAGTTCTTGGTCCTGTAGAATTACAACAAAGTGCTTCAAACTTATCACCAATGTTCATGTAAATCCTTTCCATATTGTCCTTTCCTAAGTTTTTGCATAACGGGGGAACACCAACTCTCAGCAGTAAATCCCTATAAAAGAAAAAGAGGCCAGGATTAGAATCCATTAGAACTTTTAAGAGCCTACAATGATCCTGACTTGTCCTCCCCTTTTAAGACAAAAGCCACTGCTAAATCACAGAAGGTTCATTTGATGTCAGACAGAAGACTATAGATCGTTCCTGTAAGTAAAAAAAACCTAAAGTGAGGCCCAGCAGTCCAAAGCGCTTCCTCAGCACCTCATTAAGATTTTATAAGGAATTCAACACAGAGAGAAGAGAGTTAAATCCCTCGTCTGAACTTAACTTTGTTTCTCGACCAAACTGCAAACACTACCAGATTGTGTGTTTCCAGTCGCACTAGCTAAAGGGCATCTAGCTAAAGTGCATCTACATAAAAGGCATAAGCATAAGAGAATGTAGAAAGAATCTGAAAGACAGAGGCTAAAAAATAATTTTAAAAAGTCCAACAACACAGACATAAATAATTGTAGATTATTTTAGAAAATATTTCACCTTGACATCTTTGGTGATTATTAAATATGCAATTGTTCCCGGTCCAAACTAAAACGTTTACCTTCCATAAAAGCGATTCTAAAAGGCTTGAACCTAAATATTTACATTTCTGCAGTTAGAAGTTCTAATGAAATGGGTAACTTCGACGGTATATAGAGCATAAAGTAGTGCAGTGGGGGCCCTTTTTCCTATAGGTGGCTGTGCACTGCCAATCAGCAAGAGGAGGATCCTTTTACCAGCTAAAATCAGTGTATTACATTTACTATGAACTTTAAGGAGAAAATTCTTTGAAATAAAAAAAAATGAAAAAGAAATGTGTAAGCAAAATTTACATACCTGCCAAGGTTTGGATTGAAAAATAAGGTTAATTTTAAAACATCCACTGTGAGTTGTCCAACTACCAAAGTTAGGCTCCATTATCCATATATTTCAAGACATGTTGACAAGAAATCTAAAATAAACACCTGTCAACCAATTGGCAACTCCAATAAGGTTATTAGATTATGACTCGCAATGCTAGTGACAGTTCCATTTAGAGAGGCAGATCAATGTATTTTTTGATATATAATTCTAGAATAAGGGAAATTTAAGGGATAGTAATAATACGGGAGAAAGGCGGGAAAAAAGGTAAACAAATATGGTAGTTTCTCAGCCAAAACGGAAGACTTGACAGCTATGTAATTATAAATATGTGCTACAAGGGGCACAGTTTGTAGCAACGCTGCCTTGCATCAGGAGGCTTGGTTTTTAAATCCCCAGCTTGGGTCTTTCTACATGGAGTTTACATCTCCCCGTGGCCATGTGGATTCTCTCCAGGTATTCTGAATTCCTCCCACAGTCCAAAAACAGGATTGAATTGGTATGTCTAAATTGCCATTAAAGCAGATATATACTGAGAAACCAGGTCGTCTGCGTGTCGCAGTTAACGCAGCTATGTCTCCGCCACTTCTGTAGACACTCTGGTGTACCTCTCCAAAATTGTAGGTGACTGCAGACAGTGCAGCAGACAGGAGGCCTCTGATTGGTCAAATCTACATCCACTCTACACTATGCATATTTCCTGTTTGATACCTTGCCGGCTTGTTTTGTTTGTATGACCGCCTTTGTGAAAAACAACTCGTGAAGATGGACGAGCTAGAAGAGGGAGGTGCATGAGAACACTGGGACCCTTTTTCCACCTGGATCCCCGCTCTTTTTTGCCCTCATGTACCTCCGTTGTCGCACAAACTTGCCCCCACTTGGTCACCGCCTCGGCCGTATCTAGACCCACAGCTAGTTTGTGATTGTCCCTCTTGCGTTGTGGCATGGAATGTGGCGCAGACCACGCTTCAATATTGGGCATAAATAAAGAATATCTGCGTCATACCTGCAACAAGCTCACTGCGACACACTGCGGTGGGAGAATAACCAGCCCTTTAGGTGTGTGTGTCTCTGTTGCCATGCGATAGACTGGCAGTGATGACCTGTCCAGGATCTATGCCTCCTTTCCTTCATTGACTGTTTTAAATAGTTGATCCAGTGATCCTGATGGACAAGCGCTAGAAGATGGATGGATGAAAAATATATACTGTAGAACTGTAGCATAGTTCAAATGTGAGATTTAGATTCTATGTTGATTGTGTTTCATGTAATCCAGATCTGAACATATTCAACTGTTGAATGAATGAACCATATGATATCTTGTTATGTGACTGAAGGTTTTAACCCTGACAAAAACATTACTAAGAAAAAGGTAACAAATGAACTCAGATTATAATTTTTTTTATTTACAGGTTTTCATTCTATTTACATGTTTGGTTTGAGTCTAGATTTGTCATATCGAGAAAATAAATGCAACAGCAGATTGTGTGTGTTGTGCATAATTCCCCTTTATAGCAGCAATATACTAAGTCTTTAAAATGAAAAAAAACAGTCTTTGTTTTATTAGGCTAATATTCCTTTCTTGTAATTTTTTTTGTACTGAAAAATAATTCCAGCGTTATCGTAAATCTGTCTAGAGGGAAATTAGCCTTTTGTGTGAGGCGATGACCTCTGCCGTGGAGCCCATTTAGACTTTGGAAGATTAAAAAGCTTCCGCAACAACCCTCTCCTCCACAAAACTACAGAAGTACCATGTGTACACAGAGAGAAAAGCATTAAAAGCATTTTGTTCTTCCAAAGAAGTTTGCTCAGACTTACCGATGGTGATCTGACTCACGCAGCTGTAAAAAGTTCCAGAAGAGACATTGTAGCTGCTGCTGCTGGGTTCACGGTCTGTGAGATGAGCAGAGGCGCATAAGTGGGAAAAACATATTGATTTCCTCTGTAGAAATAAGCATCAGTTGGTTTTTACAATCAATACTTTTGTAATAAAAGTAAAAAAAAAAATAAAAAGTCCAAAAGTAACTTCAATATTTCACTGTTTAAGATATCTTGAGCAAACCCCTGAGCCTAATGTTGCTGATCCTATAAGGTTACATGAACGGGCCTCTAATTCTGGCAGTATTTTTGGTAGTAACTATACTAAAAGTGTAAAATAAATAAATAAATGTCTTGCGATTATGGTTTTTTAAGAGGTTCTGAAGTGAAAATTTTTGTTTCACCTAAAAAAAACTCTTCTTTAAAGAACGTTTTGCTATCCGATTATTAATAGATTAGCAAACTAATTAATAGTTGCAGCCCTAGTTCTGGGGAAAGTAAAATTGTAAACTTTTACCAAGCTGATAAACATGTTATGCAGCTAATTTTCTACTGGATGTGCTACACAACAATTAAGACGTTACTTCAATTTCAGTTAAATACTTGAGGCCTATTTTGTTACCAAAATTAAGCAGCTACAGGAAAAATTTTCCATTATATGACCTAACATTACAGACATATCTATTATCTCTATGTTAATTATTCTAATGCATAACATTTAATTACATGCAAACTTATTTTCTCCTACAGAGAAAGTTTAGCCTACAAGAAGCAGAAAGAATGCATCATTAATTTATCTCACGGTCAATGAGAAAAATGACCTCCACGTTACAGATCTTATGTGGGACACCAGCTATCAGGGGGGCAGCAGTAAACAATGTGCCTCGGGACAATAAGGCGAACATGCATAACACTGCCCCTTTAGCACAACTGTTAGGTTTACACTGTTGGTAGAGATACTGAGTAGTTTTGATCACTTTTATTTTTTAAGTAGGAGGGTAAAAAGGACAAGAGTCCATTTATATTCAACAGTAGGGGTGACTCTCTTTACATTACCTTCCTTCACTGCCCTCATTCTCATCTTCCTGATTCCTGCATTCATCCAGCCTGTTTTTCATGGCAACTGTTTGTATAGTTCATCCTTGTCATTTGTATTTCATCTCGGGGTGGAACTGAAAATGTATTTTAAATCGTTCAACTTTTCTTTTTTTTTCAATCACTTACACACACAAACGTTTTTCATCTTGAGTGTAAAATGTTAATAACTTTTAATAATTTTGGTTTAATTACTAGTTTGAGCGTATTAAAGACTTATTTCTAGATTTATTACACTACACCCATGTGGGAAAGTGATTTATACCCTATTCTTTTTTTAAAGGGGGCATAAAACAAGATAAAATATATTTTATGCATAAAAAAGCTGTGAAACATACAATTGAGAATAAGGGAACTAATGTTAGGGTCCTGCTTGTGGGGTTTGTTTTTTGTTTGTTTTTTTAGTTTCTCCTTCCACCTCTTGATGGTGCCATTTGCCCGTTTTGGCCTGGAGGGTTGTCTCCAGTATTTCTCCCTCACCTGCGGCTCGTTGGGTCATCACCAGAGGAGTATTTGAGCAGCGGACTGTCACCACCTCGACGGCAGAGTGTTTGCCAGTGTTGGGTACTCTAGCCAATCTGAGATTAGCTGAGTCTAACCATTGTGCCTTTGTCTCTCTGAGTCTAAGTTTGCCTTTTTCTCCTTTGTGTTCTCCGGTAGGATAACCCTCCTGATTTGCTGGATAAGCCTAGTCCTTCTACCCCCTTGGAAAGAAATATCCATGTCTTTCTGAGCAAGGGGAAACCTTCACCTGATCCGTTCAAGTCCACCACTGGAAAATCCTGTGACAGTCTGTTCCGTTGCTCCTCTGGACCCATCACTAGTCTGCCTGTCCACCCTCCAATGAGTACAATCTTCTCTGGACAATACCCCCACAAACTGGACCCAAGGATCTTCCAAGAACCCCTCGAATGTAAGTCTTTACTGAACCATTCATCAGCCTCGTTTATTTTCCCTACGGCCCTTGAACTCATCCTTGTGATTTCCCCCCTAGAGTTTCCGGTTCCGGTTCACCGGATCGCTGGATCTCCCTCTGAGAAAACCTGTACAATCTATCTCTCTCTCTCTGAGCTTGTAACCTCTGCAATAAACTAGTTAACTTTTCCCTTTGTCTCTGAGTGGTTATCTGCATGTGGGTTAGATCTCTGAAGCCCACCATAACACTTAATATTTGCTTACATTTTATTTTTAGCAACAAGAAATGTTTCTCCTTTTTATAAAACTTAAAAAAAATTCTATCCATAGTGATCCAATAATGAAAAGCTGCCCCCTTAATTTAAATTATTTGAAATTATTGAAAACCTCTTTATTTTTATTTATGTAGTTCACACCATTGATCGTGAACGCCGCAAAAAATACTTTTTATTTTATTTTTGACAAATTAAACAACACTTAAATGACTTCTTTTGGTGTTCATTCTTATTTAATTTGCATTATTCCAATGTACTTAATAGCCAAATATTGAAAAATGTCTTAACCTTACCTTAGTAGGTTTTCAAAATGTCCTAAAGTCTGTTTTAGTTTTTTCACCAATGAAAATTTGGTCAGTTACTAATTTAAAATAACTGCCAAGATTTTAGCTTTTTGCTTCTTCAAATTATTAAAAAGAACCTTGCAAAAAACTTTTCTGTTCTTATTGTTTAATTGTACACAAACAGCTGCATGGCAACATTAAAAAAAAACAGCAGGACAGAGACTGATTTCATGACTAAGTGGATCACATCTACCACAGATGATTACATTTGGTTCCATTTTAAGAGAGAACACATCTGCAAATGTAATTTATTTCCAAAGCTATTGGAAGTCTGCCGGTGGACTCTGGAACAACATTCATAATTGATCACATAATAAACAAATTGCACCAGAGAAAAGAAACTGGTATGAAAATGCAGTCTACAGTCGAGACGTTTGGACATTTAAGCGCAAGAAATAGATTTGAAATTGATTTTCAAATAGATAAAACTTATCACTACTTTTATTACAGCTTCAGTTTTCTTGTTTGTTTGTTTTTTTTGTTTTTTCATAGTATGTTTAAAAACAAAACTACAAATGGCACATGTCTAAGTCCGGATGCTGCACAGGATGCTTTTTCACCTGCGGATCCGGAGGAGAGGCGCGTCGCGAAGCCGCGGCGCGGACTGCGCGGACAGACCCGCACCACCTCATCCTGGCATTGCAAACACACGACCTGGCTGTCCTGCCCGTCTCCAACCTCTCTGCAGCCGACGTCCTGGATCTTCATCCCTGCGCTTATCTGCTGGACCAGTCGCATGTCGGCCGCCGCGTCATGATCCAGCATCTTTCTCCTGGGCGCTCCAACATTACGCGCTGCTTCTCCGCGCGCGGCACCGCTGCCGCACCTACTGCTTATTTTTGACACAAATGGAACCCCATAGAACTCCTCCCACTGCAAACACAAAGCTCGGATATGAGTTCACCTTTAGTCCCGCGGGCCAGCTGAGCTCGTGTGCTCTCGGATGTTACGTGAGCGCCGCAGGCGTGGCTGCTCCATGCAGTGTCGCAGTGACAAGATTGAAGGCTGGCGAGGATATTTGTTTTTATTTGTTGGAAATCACATTTGAAAGTCTTAGTAAGGCAACACAGAAGTGAGTAAAGGAGAAATTCTCTTTTCTTTTGAAGGAATAACTTTCGTTTTGGGGTGTTTTCAGTAAAGTGCTTACTCATGAAGGTTCGTCCCTGTTTTTACTCAGAGGAGCAACACGAAAAATGTAATCACTAGGGCGCACATTTCAGATTTTGATTCATTTTTATTTTTATTTTATTTTTTTATTAGGGTATGCCCAACCAGGGGAGGAGCTAGATGGGGGGCCAGGGGGGCCACCCTTAGCCAATCTTTAGCCACCCCTACCATTTTTTCCCCTCTAATACAGATGGTGGCAGCAGTGATACTCTCAAGTGGAATATTCAAAAAAAAAAATAATTTATTGTGGTTAATCATGCACATCAATAAACTAACATCAAAGATGATAAATACAGAACTTATCAAATCATCAATTTATGTAGATATTAGTGATTGCAAAGATGTTTTATGCAGAATGTTTATTGATACAAGTAGGTAATGGAAAAGATTTACACCCCAGAGCTCAAAACTGAAAGAGTTTTGTCCACTATACCATTTATCTAGAAATTACGGATGTTTAAATATATGCATCTATTTGTTAGTAAAGGCTGTAGGAAAGTGTAGTTTGTATTTATTTAGAAAATATGGGTGTTTTGCTCGTTAATTTTCCTGTTGGAACAGAGTAGATTGACCAAGACGTTCTGGTGCCTATCCGCTTTCAGCCACCCCTCATTGTACATTGGTTATTGCCTGGCCACCCTTATAAAAAATAATGATGTGCAGAAACAAAGGTTTTAACCATGATTGTCTGTGTCATGAAGCAGGGGCGGTTCTACATATGGGCCCCTGTGGAACAACTCCTGGCTCCTATACCGAAAACATACACTGCAAATATTGAAATCTGAGTAAGTCATTTTTTTTCTTTTATGTAAATTTCCTTTATGTAGCAGATGATACAACTTTTCAGAAGAATGTGATTTTTAAAATTTGAAATAAGAGAAGAAAAAAAAAAAAAGAATTATATTATCCCAAGAGCAATATATCTAATTATCTTATAAGGGCAAAAGCACAAATTTATTCGGCAGATCATCTTATCTACCTCTTTAAATTAAAGGCAAATATTCTTATTTTGAGAACTTTTAAAATCCCTTTTGACCAGCCTTTGCAGTGAAATATTAAGTCAATTTCTTATGAAAATATTGTATGTGCTTACAGAAGATGACTTAACTTATTAATCCCTTGGACCAATTTAATATTTCAACTTTACATTTCAGTTTATCAATTAATTAAAATTTACAGTCAGCTTTAAGCTCCAGGTATATTTAGATGGGATCAATGTTTTTATCTGTTTTGTCAGGGGTCTGCAACATTGGCCCCATGGCTCTTTTAATATGCTAAACGATGCACTTTTGCCATGTTTGCTCTTTTGTTGTGTGCCATCATAAAACAAAGCTGGCCACACCTTGGCCCCCTTGGTAAATTTAATCAAGAATCACCACTAGTGTAGTGAAACCCCTTTCCTAAAGCATGGAAAGTATAAGCTGTCCATTACAATATTATGTGTTATTGGTAATAAAACAAATGCCTAATCTGTCTAAACAAGTGCTGTCCCAATATCTGCCAGCTGGAGGAGCTGAAGAGACCCTTTAGACAGCAAAATAAACAAAAGATAAAAACTGCTGAATAAATAAAGGAAAACAAACTCTAACGTCCCCCTGCTTAATCAACTAGCCTGCAAATTCTGAAAGAACAGCAGTATTTTTTTTAACTGACATATGAATTGTTGTAGAATCAATATTTTTAAAGTTTTCACATTGGCTGTACATAAAGAAAGGCACACAATTAGCTACATTTTTCTCTGGATTTTTGTTTTTTCTTATTTTTAGAAAAGGTTATGTTGTCTATTCTTAGCAGCAGGAACATCATTTAGGTCACTCTTTCCTTGCAGGATGGATGAACCCAAGTATTTGTTGGGATACATTCACATCAAGCATTTTAATTTGAGCCCTGACTCTTTGGCTGTTAAAGGCTGTTTGGGGTTCAAACTGGTGCAAATAAAAAACTATCACTGGTGCATCCTCTTCTGACTAAAATATGGGGCATTGTGAGTAATTGCAACAAAAAAAACCAAAAAAAAAAAACGGTCACAATCTTCTTTTATGTCCTTTTCTACCTCCGGATGAAAGACGATTCCAGTCACAAGAACTCAGCAGGCTCTTTAATAAAGAGGCTTATATCAAAATAACGGAAACAGAATCGGATTATGTAGCCTTCCATGAAAGCATGTCAAAGTGTTCATGAAGTAACCGGCTCTGCTTCCTTCTTTGGGCCTTGTGTGGCTGTTAAAGCAGACAGAATGGGACCTCCTGGCAGTGTTGGTAAAAAATCTACCATCACCTCAACCGCAGCTCAAAGTCTTTTCCACTTCAATTAACTTTGTTCTTTCTGCTAGTCCAGTCTCCAAAGGTCCATTAGATGTCTCAGCATTAGTTCCTGCTGACTTTGCTGATGTTGGCTGGGTGCCTGCCGCTGCTGCATGCTTATGTCACAAGCGGGGGCACAAGGCTACAGCGGTATTTAAGCCTTGCACAGCAGCTGAACACTCCATGTCCTCAGCAGCTTTTTCTTGTTAAGGTTTGCGCTGTGCTCCAGCCTTAGAGAGTCTTCTGGATGCTGCACCAGCTGTCTCTAAGGGGTCTCCACGACCCCCTTAGGGGTCCATCCAATACATCTCGTATCATTCCTGGTGGCTGTGGCTGTCTAGGTGCACACACCCAGAGTTCGACTTAGGATCCTCTAGGCTTCTACGCCTCACTCCTTGGTTCCAACAAGGATTCAGGCATACTGGATCCTTTCAAGTTTCCAGGGGAAATCTAAGCCTTCCAAGTTTCAGTCATAATCCAAGCCTCTACACCTCGGGCCGAAGCCCTGTCAACTTCAGCCTCTGATTCTGTGTCTGTCTTGGAGCCTGAAAATGCTAGGCTTAAGAACACATACACCATTGCAACGGCTGATCATCTTTGCCAACCTTAATTTCCGTGCCAGTAGCTCTTCACCTTCCCCTTCCACAATTGTTTGCTGTCAGGACTTTGTCTTCACATCACTAAACTCGAAAGACGCTGCTTATCCTACCGCCTGAAGTGTTTTTCCGCCTGGGACAACTTTGTGGACGCCTGTCTAAACCATCTCTTTGTTTCTCACTTAATTTCACTCACTTGTTTGACAAGATTAATCTTCAAGCATCCTTTTTATCCTTTTTAAATGACATTTAATATAATTAAAACAATATATTTCCTTACTGTTCAATTGTATCCTTACATTCTGGATATATTTTCTTTTGTGTACTCTCTATTTTCAATTATTTTATTTACTTTCAGTCTCTTTCTGCAGAGTAAAACAATCACAGGAAATTTGGAATAGGCTTTAATCTTTCTAAGAGAAACCAGATGTTTTATTTCACGATATAAGGCCCCATTTCTACCTATATTTCACAGTTACAGGGTTAAATTAAAAAAGCAAAGAAAAACACAAGTATGCATTGTATAATTTTTGGCTCTTGACTCTTTTGGTTCATTGCTGGGCACCTTCAGCTCAGGGGGAATAGCCCAGGTTTGTTAGACAGGCTAATAAGTTACCGACTGCAACCATATTTTATATTGCTCCACATTAACAGGCACAGCTGCATATGAGTTTGTTGGCTTTGCTGCTTTTAGCTGTGCAGTAATCTCATGTTACACTTGGAAGGTTTTCAAGCCCTTTTTTGTGTTTTTGGAATGTGGGTTAACTTTTCTTTTATGAATAACATCAAATTGCCGTGACCCAGTGAGACAAGAGATTATAACAAATGTTCAGACATGTTCATGTCTATTAATTGGGGTAGGGTGAAGTTTAGCTTTGAATCTGCTGTAAACAGCACCACCTGCAGTCTCATGAAGGTAAACCCACACAGCCACACATCCATGGACATTTTACTATACTTTTAAGTCGCAATGCCTCTAGAACCTTGCTGAGTCTTCGGGGGTTAGATTGATTCAAGTGTCTAAAACGTTCCTTGGAGGTTTTAATTCATATTGACACAATGAATCACACAGTTCCTACAGATTTTGTCATCTCCAATTCCACTCAATAAATCTATTTTCCACCACATCTCAAAAATGATCTACTCGACAGAGATCTGCTGACTGTCTATGCCATTGTAGTACACTGTATTTAATTTAATTCTTGGGGAAGTGTTGGTCTAGTGGGTTAGAGCAGTTTGCTTGTGTTCTGAAAAGGTTGCATGCACCTGGTTTGATCCCCACTGCCTGTCCTCTGGGTCCCTGAGCAAGACCATTAACCCCACACTGCTCCCTGGGCACAGTGTGTGGTTAATTTCTTCAGTATGAGATCAATAATGTTCTTTTATTTTTTATTATTATTTTATTATTCTGCTGGACATTATCATTAGAAGACAAGAGAACTGTGATCATATATTAAAGAACATAATGTCTGTTCTCAGGGTTATAATGCCCCCCTACTGAAGCTCTGCCACTACCCTGAACTGTTATATTTTGTGGATTAAAGTTGTGATTCTGTTTTTACTTAATTATACTTTTACCGTAATACACCTGAAACGGAGATTCATTGGACCAGTTTCTCTTATCTAATCTGGTGCACTCCACTGACCATCACTCAGTCTGTAGAAAAGCCCACAGGGCTCATCAGAGGCTTAGGCCACACATTAAACTGAAAACAATTAACTTTTAGCTTTTACCTTTACAAAGCTACCATATCAAAAACATGCATTAAGTCTGGATAGGCATGGAGCTATTTATTTTATTTTTTGTGCTTTCAGGTAGAAATTCATGCACCAAACCCTCTGGGCTTACAATGTTATTCTCTTACCTGGCTCTTCACTCTCAACAGTGATCATCCTCCGGATTTCTTCCCAGACCTGGACAACATACACTGAACTGTAAGCTCTATAACATAGACTGTTATAAACCTAAGCACTCCTTCCTTCTCTTCCACACACCACTGACTCCAAAAGTTTACATGATATAATAGAATAAATATTTTAGAGTTGTAGTCTCTGTGGTATTTGGTAGGGGTGTCTAGATACAGCTTTTTCTTTTCTGATGCGTTATTGCAGCCTTGAGATTTTGCTGATACCAATATGACCCGATACAATATTAGCACAACTCATATAAGCTTCTTTTTTTTTTTTTACTTTCCGTATACTGTAGAATATTAGAAAATGCTTGTTCAAGTAACATTACTAACATTAGCAGAGTGCTTCCATCTGCATGAAAATTTCTGAGATGTTAGATGCTGGCCGATAAAATCCGGTATAATTTTTTTTAAATATTATTGGGCCAATATCTGATATTAATAACAGATGAGGACAGCTCTAGTATGTTGTGGTGTATATGAGTCCTTGAACTTATATATTTATTTTTTTATATTCTTTTTTGCTATCATGTAAATCTTTCCAACTCTTCCCTCCTAAATATGAATTAGCTCATTCTGCTGTTGATTCTTGTTTGGTTTTGCTTAATGCAATTTTATCGTATAGTTCAGTTTGCATTTGTAGCAGTGTAAATCTATTGGCTGCAATGACACAAACAGTTCATCTGATCCTACAATTGCCAGATCTTATGAAGAAGAATCTTAAGAACCAGGGATGAGCATGATGATAAGAGATGAATCCACAACAGAGCAGAAAACACAGAGATGAATATAAAGGGGTCAACTGAAATCAGGTAAGTGCAATCATCTGAAACTTAAACTTTTGTGAGCTATGATAATAAGCTCATCCTACAAGTGTTGAGGGCATCCCATCTTGTCCAAAATGCCGTTAGTTGATTTTCATTGCTCTGCTGGGAGCAGTTCTTACAACTAAAATAAACATTACATGGTCCTCAACTGCTGAAATGGGTATCTGACAGTTACAGGGCCGTATAATAATAACCTATTTAGATTTTTCCAATGAAGCCTAAATTTTCCAGTTAGAGAGATATCAACTAAAATCAAAGCATCAACTTCAACAAAAACTATCGACTCTGTCAGCAGGGCAGAGGCATAGTGAAGCATTAGCCATCTCTGGAAGCTGATTCACTCAGGGCAATTGACAGGTTACTACACCTGGCATTAAAACATGCTCGATGAGAGTATAAAAAACAAAGACCAAAATGACTTTGGGTCACCATGGCTGTGTCCGAAAGTCTGCCTTAACCACTATATAGGGCACTCTAACACTATATAGCGCCCTATATAGATTGTCAGGCAGCGGCGACACTATACTGTATAGGCCACTCTAAAGTGGTTAAGCCATTTTAGATGAGTGTCTGAATGTCTAGTGGATTAAAAAGTAGTGGAGTCGAAATTTCCCACAATGCATCTCAAAAAGTAATGATCATCCATGGTCATTAGACGAGCAGATATATATATCCCGGAATGCTTGGCGAGGAGGGCTCTCCTTACAAAGCAACATAGGATTTATTGTCACAGCGACCAGCTGTCTTCCATGGCTGTCATTACCCAACAGCAGCAACAAATAAAGATGGCGTAGGCACAGCGTGGTGGAGGCGGAGTTAGGTGACCAACAGAGAGCGAAAAGAAGGGATCATCTTCGTCAGTTGACTGAGGTCACTATAAAGTCCACTATACGCCCCACTTTATATAGTGATTGAGAGATTTAGAGGTTAGAACGGACATTTTGACACAGCCCATAACTGTCCATGTACAAGGAAACTCAAATGATTTGAGCGTTTGTTGATGTTGTTATCGGGCCGTCTGGCTGGTCATATATATCCTAGATTTAAAACAGTAAATCTTTGTAGTGGGACATGTTCTAGGATAGGACACCCTCTGTCTTCAACTTCTTGCCGATTTATCTACTAACTAATTAATCCCATAAATGGCCAAAGATAGTAATAAAAAAGGATGTCTGACAGTAAGAAATTACTGTTTTATTACTCTCTAAATGTAAGTATAAAAAAGGAAGTTGAGGAAAATCAAAGCTAGTTCAAAATATAATAATCTTACTTTTTGAATTACAAATCATACACTGTACATAATGCCGATCTTGAATCTGATAACTGGCAATAATGGAAATATTTATGGCATTTCATATCAAGTTGCAAAGCGTTCCAGTTCTGAGGTAAGGTTACATGCGAGTGAATGGTCTTTAGTTTCCAGGGTCTCATTTCACAAAGCAGAGTTAGTGGTAATATAGAGTTTTATCGATTTCTTCTTTGATAAATCATTTTATACATTTTAGTTTTTCTGTTTCAGAAAGCTATGAAACAGCTTCCCGGAAAAGATTAAAATCTAAAATTACATCCTGAAACAACCCCTCTCTGTCAGGGTTGTTTGAAATTTCTCATCCTACTTCTCAGCCGATATCTGCACAAGGAAGTGTCAGAAAAGGCGTGTCAGTTTCTGGAAGAACCTGCTGTGGACAAAGTGCAAATACTCATTAGATATACCCATCAGGATGGAGTGGTTAGACAGCGGTTAGTTTTTTTTTTTATCATCTACAGAGGAATATCTTTTTAAATTTACTTCAATATTGACATTTCAATATTTTCAGCAAGCACTAAACTGACAGTTGGTTAGATTCTTGAGTTAACTTACACAACTGAAATCACAATTTCTGACCCTTGAGTAGGTAAGAGAGGGTAGAAATACTCAAAAAATATTTTCTACTCATGGTAGGACAGCAATTCTTCGTGAAACAGAGCAGAGAACCAGTATATTTCATCTTTACCTCCTAGTAAAACTTTGGTAAAGAGAATTTCAGAAGTTTTCAATTGTCACGATCCACATCTTTAACTCTGCTACTCAACCTACAAAGGCATTTTCTTACAAATGTGGCACCATTTAAGAGAAATTATGTTAAGGGTTGTTGTGACTGTATCAGCCTCCCAGACCACTTAGGTTATCTGTTAAAGATTCTCAGTCATTCAGGTCATAGTCATTCCAAAAAAGTTAAACAATCCAACTTTGTTTCCAAGTTTGAAGAGCTTTTGCTTCCCATCCAGGAAGCTTTTTCAATTCAAAATGTCAGAAATAGCATTGAGTTCAGATCCATATCCTCAGAATCAGCAGCATTTAATTTGAAACATTCCACTAATCTGAAACAAACTTAAAGGAAATAAAAAAAAAACACTTAAAACTTACATTATTCAACTCAAGGTTAAACACATTTATTTAGACTTACCTTTGATTGTTTTATTTAAATTGATCACTGAAACCTCATCAATTTAAATCTGTGGTCGAAATTGTTTTGTGTATTCTGGTTTTATGTTATTATCATGCTCAGCATTTTGACATGTAATGTTGCAATGTAAATGAGCGGTGCTTTTGCAAATAACCGACTTTTTAAAGGAATGCAGTCAGACCTGTAAGGTAGCAGGAAGTACACGGTATAAGAGCAGACAGAACAGGCTGACAGAAAAGTTGCAGAAGAAGACTAGAGGCTACAAGACGACTGCTCCTCTTAAATCATGTCATAAAACGTTTGATATATTTTAAAATGCTTAGAGGGGGGTTATCTATGCAGCAAATGGCCGTGTTCCCTTTTTGACAACATTTCCTCACAAGCTTCAGGTAAAAACGTAATGTTCTTCTTTAACATAATGTAAACACCTGAGAAGATTTACTTGCACCATGAATACAACTATAGCTGTATTTCATGAAAGATGCTCTCAAAGTCCTAAAAATGCATTTTTAACCATTTCCTGCATGATGACTTTATTTAATCTGATCTTGTAGCCCTTTGTATTCAAGCAGGATGCGTTCGTCTTTCAAGTTTTTCAGCCTACTTCATGTTGTGAAGCTTAAGTTATTTACAAGTGCTTAAAGTCAGGTAGTGATCCAGCCTGGCTGGGACTAAGAAACTGAACACCATTGAAATAGAGGCAACGGAGAGCAGGATGTGAAGAGAGGTTACAAAAACTCTTTATCTTACCTTCCAAAGATACAAACCATATTTCTGTATTCTTCCCGGTTTAAATACAGGAAATGTTGAGCTAGCAGGACAAAAAAAAGGTATTTATCACTTCAAAAAATTCATAAAATGGAATATCAAATGTATGCAAAAGCAAACCTGACATGGCCTCTAGGTCATGATTAGGTAATGGTCAACAATAGCTTTTCCACAATGATGCCTATTGTTGGTTTATCTGTCAGGATGGTTTTAAACAAATGTAACCTGTTATTAAACAGGATGTTTTTTAAGAAAATAGCTTCATGTAGAAAATTGCGGAGTCCTAAAGGAACAGTAGATGAATATAATGATACATCTCTAGTAAAAAAACTTTGTCAAGATGACGACTTATGGTTCCCAAAGGTTTACCAAAATCCAAAATAACTTTTGCTACATCCTGCCAAAGCATTTATAGCATTGGCTTTTATCTACACCTCATACAGTTTTTTGTGTATATAAATCACGAATGATTTAGGCATCTGTCTAACAATAATAACCAGAATCTTTAAAACCTTTGGGAGATCCTAGGAAGATTTTTTTTTTCATATTTTTTAGTGTCCCTCACAAGGCTCAATGATTAATAAAGAAAACATATTTATAATACCTATGCCAAACCTAAAAACCACCTCCTATAAATAAAATCCGTCTGGACCCTAGTTCTATACAGGCCAAACTTAGCTAAACACTTCAAGAAAAACATAGTAGTTTTATTTTATCTTTTTTTTCTCTTTTTGTAATAAACCTGATAAAGAAGCAGATAAAGAAACAGTAATTTTGACTTGTAAGGCTGAAATAAATAATAAGCCACTTAAAAAAGGGTAACTTAGATCAGTGTTTCCTAATCTTTTCTAACTTATGTAACCCTTTGGGCATTTTTTCTTACCATGAGTCTCCCTCTCAGTCAAAAGTGTTGATGACTGTCCAAAAGTGGAACGTACAATACCTGATTTTAAAATTAAAAACTATTTTGCTTAATCTTTTCATTTAAGCATTTGATTCTTTGGCATTTTATGCTTTCCATTTCAAATAAAAAAACAACACAAATATGTTGCGTGTTAGTATGGAATCGAAATTAATACAAAATATAATATTATAAAACTGGAGCTCCTCTGAGAAATTCCCTTATAATCACATTTAAACTAGATGAAATGGAAACAAAATACAGAACAAAACTTATTGTCAGACTGACTTAATTAGTTATACTCTGTTTCCATCAATACACCTGAGCTGCTTTGATGAGCTCCGATAGCTCAGTGTGAAAAACATCAGATACTAGGCTGTTCTCTACATCCAGTCTGTTACTCTGCTTGGTTTGTACGTATGTAAAAGCTGAAGCTGAATTCACACATATAAGAAAAACATATTTTTTGGTTGATAAAAGCTTGTTTAATTTTTCAATTGGGCCTCACAAAGCAAAGCAGATCCCAGCCCAATTTTATTTTGCACCCCTTGCAATGCACTTGCAGCCACTAGGGGTACAAGTACCCCCGGTCGGGAAACACTGACATAGACTAACATAAGAAGAATGCAAAAATAATTTGTATCAGAATGTTTTTAATATAAAATTAACCGATTTTCTCTTTTCTTCCTTTACATTTTAATCAAGGATCAAAAAGACATCCCTGATAATGAGATCAAGAGCTTACAGACGTATTTGCAGTCCAAAGTTCCGACCTTTCTACCTCACCTTGGTTTTGAGTATCATTATTCTGCTGCTGTACAGTAACTGGGTCACATATTTAACAACATATGAAGTAGTCAAGGTGAGTAGTGCTGTTCAAAATAATGACATTCCATTTTCTTTCTCCCCATTATCTCAGTATGTAAATAATGCAAATTTGTTCTAAAATAGAAATCCTGCTTTTTATTTGCAGCATTCACACAAGCATGTCATTTTTTTTTTTTTTGTTTCTTTCTCCTCCATTTGTGATGGGTTTTTCTTTTACTGATTATGTTAACATATGTAAAGTATTTTTTTGCAAATGTGAAAACATGCAAACTGATCTGGTTCCACACATGAATATGAGCAGATTTTTTTTTTTTTTTTTTTTTTTTTACAGGTAGTTTGAGAGTTCATGTAAAGAAAGATGAGGTTCAAAGCCATGGAGATTGAGGAATAATGAAAGTACTTAATATGTATAGTGCAGTTGAAATAGGTAGCCTATCTTAAAGTGCTAAGAACAAAAGTAAAGGCATAACATTGAAAATAACCAAAGTTGAATATGGAAAAAAAAATAACAATAAAATGATAACGATAAAACATGAGAAATTTTGTTTTAAGACAGGCAAACCCTCTTAAGATCAGGCCGTTAGTGCGCAATGGCTGGCCTCTGTTTTCTTTTTTTTTTCTTCTCTTTTTTACATCATTAATCATTTACACAATAATTATACCTCACATTTATTGTTTCAACATGCGCATAAACATGTCCTAGACTCTGTAAAGTGCAGCCAATGTTCTCTGCACTAAGCTCACCATGCCTTTATATACTTCACCTTGCACACAGCCAATTTAAGTAAAAAAAGTATGGGGTCATTGCCTAAATAATTTGGAAAATAATGCTGCCATGCTAAAGCATTCAGTCCCTTTCACTGGAAACACAACCCCCACTGCACCTGACCCTGTGAAATAAGGCTTGAGCTTTTCTGGAGGAAACTGCAGGTGTGGCATGTTTTACATCTGCTACTACAGTACCAACCTGGATTCAAATGTTTGATAAATATGCAGTAAGCACTGTTTTTCAACATTATTGTTGTAGGGGGAAAAAATACCCTTTTTTCCCCTTGAGTGATTCCAAATATATTTTTTTTGACCAAAAAGGACAAAAGCATGCACTTTACCAGAATTTTGCTTGTAACAGTATGGACGAAGTTTATGTGTGCAACTAAACTTAGTGAAACTAAATATATAGCTACTTTGAGAATCTCTTTTAGTGTTTGTGTGCATATACATTATGAAAGAAAATGCACCTACTATCTGCATTTAGGAAGGAACTAGCTTGAAAACCACTGCTTTTCACCTCTAAACACAATATTTTGAATCAAACTTCCCAACTATGCATATAGCACCCATCCATAGCAAACCACAATTCTCTGAGCACCAGAGGGCAGTTAAAGAACTGTACCATTTAAATTTGGTTGCGCCCGTCATTTACCAACATGCACCAACCATTTATCTAAACAGATAATTGTAGTTAACATGTTAAACTAAACATATTTCTTTATAAAGTGCTAAAGATATATTGTTGTACTTCCATTTGTATGCCTGGTAAACTCTTGAATATTTTGTTCTGTAAATGAACTAGTGAAAAAAAGCTGCTTGTAAAAGGTTAACCAAACTGTAAGAATAATCATCCCAAAATGTATATCTTGTCATGTGAATCTTTGTCTCTATGCAGCATAATTTATTTGAATGTTCTTGTTGTTTTCAGACCCCCAACAGTATTGCTAAACACAGCTGCTCCTTCCATTCACTACCACCAAAGGAGGCTCATTTGGCAGACTTACTAAAACAATTAATTATCTGGCCCAAAGGACCGGATTTAGCATCTTTCTTCTTCCTGTATGACACCAGTGATCCAGCTCGGAGCAGCTTCACCATTCTGCCACCTAATGGAGGGAGAAGTTGGCATGTAGGAGATCAGCTGGAGGTTTTGATTAAGATGTATGACTTCTATGGTCGCCCTAAGGAGTTTGGTGGAGACTTCCTGCTAGTTCGACTGCACAACCCTATTCTTGATGCAGGTGTGGCAGGAAAGGTGTTGGATCATCGCAATGGCACCTATTCTGCTATATTTTCTTTGCTCTGGGAAGGACGTGCAGAGGTTGAGGTAATGCTAGACATGTAACAATGTTTCTATGTCATCTTAACTATAAAGGGAAATTGTCTGATTTAGCCTTTAATCTAGGGTACCATGGACTGTTTGGACTTGTTAAAATCCTTAGTTTGAACCCTGTGGCTTGTATATACTGTGTATGTAGAAATCATAGGTGCTCCATACAGGGTCTAAGTCTATGAGTGGTAATTGTGAAAAAAAATGGCCCCAGGCAGTGACATAGTTACAACTCTGGTAACACAATACTCTGCTGCTCATTCACCTCAGCATTTTCAGAGATTCAACTGAAAGTAAGCCTGATAGCTTCACTTACTTTCTCGGTAACCAGCTCTTAAATATGATATTTGACATGTGCTTTCAACATAACAGAAACCGGTACTGATAATTACCTTTAATACAGGGCATAAAAAATGTTAAATTGTTAAATGCCAATTACAAATCAGGCTCTATACATTTAGACACTCCAATCATATTTCACAAAATACGACACACATGAAACACTAAGGTCATTTAGAGGAACAGAAACCCGAATTAAACCAACATGAACCCAGAAACTTGGCTTATTACGCAGGGTTACACTGCTCTCTAGTGACACAACACCACAACTGCCTTATTTTATTCTTGGTTATATTGCTTAAAATGAGTCCCTTTCAGTGTTAGACCTGTGTTATAAGTTTGCCTATAAGGATAAATATTAAGTTTTGTAATATCTACTTTTTTAACATAAACTGAACATAATAATCATATTAATATAGATAAGTTGTAAACTAGATTCACTTGTCTTACCAATAGTAAAGTTAACTGGTTTGAAACAACCATAACTTGAAATGCAAAAAACCCCTAAGATTCAGTATGAGATAAAACACTCCTTTTGATTGTGCTGTAAAGTCTGGTATATTAACTATTTTGGAAATAATTGGTATTATCTCTTTTCCTCCCAGGTGATCTTGGTCCACCCTAGTGAGGGAATTGTGGTGCTGGAAAAACTGACCCAGGAGCAGCCGGACAGAATCTATTTCCGTAGCCTCTTCCGTCAGGGTTCGGTGAATAAATCCGCGATCTGTAACATATGCCTTAATAAACCTCACAGGCTGTGCAACTACTCTGATCCCATCACGGGTGAACCCTGGTTCTGCTACAAGCCAAAGAATATAAGTTGCAATGCTAGGATCACCCACTCCAAAGGAGGATTCATACAAAACCTACAGCCAATGGAGGAGGAGCTCTTTCAAATGTGAGTGTAGATTTAAAATCATAAATAAAGCTCTGCACAAACACACAACCAAATGAAAATACTTAGAGGTTTTGTGTTTTTTAGATTATTAACAATTTTTGGTAACCCCCTGCACAAAAAAGACTTAGGGTGAGGCTAAATTGTGTAATATTTGGCTTTTATAAACAAAAGGCAAAAAATTTTAGGAAAGTTGTAGAAGAATCTTTTTGGCTCCAAAATCTTCAGTCTTGTGTGGTTAAAGATGTGCACAATCACTCCACACAGTTGACCTGCACAGAGCCTGATAATGCTTGAGCTGGTGCCGTCTGGACCTCTCCTGACTTTCATCCTCCTAAGTTCCCTTCCAACTTGGATGGGTGAGATAGACAACCAAGAGGCATCTGAGGTGGAACAGAAGATGAAGGTGGGGGAACTATAGCAGATTTTAAAGACTGCATAGAAGTGGGCTGTGTAGATGGAAAAGCAGAGGCAGCTTAGTCAAACCTTTTGAAAACATTATTTGCCCACCTTACATCTCCTATTGCCAGAGAGCTCTGTTTTTTGTAGCCTGCGATGGTAATAAAGCCTCTTCAGACTCCAAAGACATTTTTCTTTTATAGCTGGTTCTCAGGTCTCTGCCTGGAGCTGCCTTTCCAATCTGTGAGCAGTCTTTTCGTCTCACCATCCATCCTTTTTAGCTCCTATATTTTCCTCATATGAATGCCATTTTTTTCTGCATAAACATGGGTTTATATTCAGAAGCAATTTATGGTTTATGTTCAGGAAACACCATAAAGTTTTGGTGTGTACTATCTTACCCACACATAAAGTAATGAAGTCTAAAATACAGGTCAGAAGAAGTTCGTTTCATCCCCATCAGCATCTAAAAACACTTTCCACACAGTAGACTCAAAACTGTCCTTTAGAGCCTCCTAACACTCTGCACTTTGCAAGTGACTGCTCGCACCCTGTTCAAAAGATTATATAGAGTTCCAAGCGTTCCAACCTCTGCAGAGTGAAAAAAGGTAGGGCTCGAAGGCTCAAGTCATTTTTTTTTCATAACACATCTTGATGATCCCCAAGACTCCTGGAAGAAAAATCTTAAGACTGACTTGAACTTTTTCGAAGGTGTTTGTCCCATTGCATCTGGCATGAAAATTACACTTCAGGAAAGGAATCATTTCAAAAGCAACATATGGTGGTTTTTGCGTGATGACTTGGGGCTGTTCTGCTGCCTCATGACCAGGAAGACCTGCTATCTTAAATGAAACAAAGAATTCCACATCCAAAGGACAATGATTCAGAATCAGGATAAGGAGCCCATACACACCTCCAGATCCACCTCTGAATGGCTGAAGAAAATTGACACTCAGTGAAGTATGCTGATGAAGGTTCTCAGTCATCCAGGTCATAGTCATTCCGTAAAAGTTTAAAAAAACAATCCACTGGACTTGGTTTCCAAGATTTGAAGACGTTTCGCCACCTCTCCAGGAAGCTTTCTCAATTCTAATGTCTGGATCCACAGTGAGTTTGAGTCTTTATAGAGACAAGGCCTTGTATTGCTTGGAAACATGCAAATGGTAACCGATGAATGGGTCGTTTGGTTCCATTGTTAGCCTGTAATATCTGAAACCTGTCTATGATTCTGAAGGTCAGTCGTTAAAGGGGGGGATTGTCGTTAAAGGGGGGGATTGTCTCATATTATACCTGAAACCTGTCTATGATTGTTAAGGGTCGGTCGTTAAGTAGGTGTTGTTCATCGGCTGAAGAGGAGAGGTTCTCTGTTCGTCTGTGATGGGGTGGGGGTTGTGGTGATACCTGGAAGGGATCATCTCTATAACAGAATAGTAAGTTTTTGGAAGCTGGAATCTGAGTCCACCACCTCCGTTTAAAGTTGTTTTTTCTCTCTTAACATAGATGGCTTCCTTCAGGCCCCTCTCAAACCACCTATTTTCTTTATCCAAAATGTTCACATTCTGGATAAAGAAAATAGTTATATAGCAGCAGTCTTTCAAAGTGGATTTATTGTGAGACTGAAAACTCAGATCTTGTGACAATCCAGCTTGCAGCACATGGTTAGCTTCAAATCCCCCAGAGAGAAAATAGCACTACAAATCGAGTGTATATACCATATCATATTAGAGGTATTTTGACATCATTTGGTGATTTTTGCAACCCTGTTTACAACCTGCAGTCTGTCTCGTGCAAAAAAGGGAAACTTTTGCTTGATCACATGGTTCATTGAATTAAAAGTGTGATATATATTTTTGTGCTCTTTGTGTTAGTGGTGTCAACTTGAAGGTGCCCATTCCAGCCTCAGGACCTGCACATATCCAAGGTATAATAATTTTAACACTAACTGTAAACAACAATGATTAGATATGCCAGGCTATGCAGGACAAAGGCAGGCTATGAATGGCCGAGATTAAAAAAAATAATAATTATCTACTGATCTCCTTGTTTATACCCTTTAGAAAATTTGTTCTCAATTAAAAAAGTACAACTTGCATAAGAACCTAATCAATCTCACTAACTTCCAACCTCTTTCTCTTTCCAGTTCTGAAGAAAAAGGATGACTTTTATGAATCAGGTGAAGTTATATTTTTTAAAGTGTCATTACACATATTGATCATTAGGTTATAGATTTGCAATAACCCATATATTTATACATTTAACAACCTAAATTTGGTGTATGTTAAATAGTTTCTACAAGAAAACAGTTATTTGATAGGATGAACATCTAATTTTTTTAAGAGTGTTAATAATAACTCAGCATTATATGTATTTTATTTTATTTTATTCAGCTTTCAACTACTTTTTGGACTATCCTGGTGAAGTGAGAAATGCTGTCTCAAATGGGCCTGCGGGTTATTACTACCTCGGTGTTTGGCGAGCACTGGATGGCACCACTGTTCACCAGTTTAACACAGCCACAGAAATCAGTCAGTGCCTGAAAAACAAAAGGATCCACCTGTATGGAGACTCCACCATCAGGCAGTGGTTTGAATATTTAAATGGAACTCTACCAGGTATGTGACCATTACACATGTTATGTCATTTTGCTTTAAATTTGTTCACATAGCAGCCTCTTCTCTGTGTTCTACTTGGCATAGATCTCAAGGAGTTTCCCATGGAGAGCTTAAATCAAACAGGACCTTTCCTAGCCTTGGATTATACAAACAACATTTTATTGACTTTCCGCAGCCACGGACCTCCCATCCGTTTTCGCTATGTGCCTGTCAGCCAGCTTCGCTATATTGCCAATGAACTTGACCGTGTTGTTGGGGGAGAAAACACTGTTGTAATTATTGGCATCTGGTCTCACTTCAGCACATTCCCCGTAGAGGTCTACATTCGACGTCTGCTGAACGTTCGGAAAGCAGTGGTCCGGCTGTTAAACAGGGCTCCAGGTACTCTGGTCATCATCAGGACTGCAAACCCCAAAACACTGACGCTATACGAGAGTCTGACCAATAGTGACTGGTATTCCTTACAGCGTGATAAGATCCTGAGGGCAATATTTCAGAGAGTAAAAGTAAAGCTGGTGGATGCCTGGGAGATGACTGTAGCTCACCACCTGCCACACAACCTCCATCCACAACCTCCCATTATCAAGAATATGATCAATGTTATTTTATCCTACATTTGTCCCAAAGGAGCAAGTTGATAAAGAGCAAAGAGTAGAGGGGACTTTGATGAATGTGATCGATGTTTTCTATGGATGTTTCTTTTGTTTTTCTATTGTGTTTTCTGCTGTGTTTTGTGGTGGACAGAAAGAAATCAACCTTTAAGTTACTGTAACCCACTCAGAAAAACTGGGTTAGAATTCAGCCCAGATAAGGAAAGTATTTGCTCTGATTTGGGTTATGACTTGTTGGTTTTTTCTATTTGTAATTAAGGCCGTGTTTTTAACCTCCCGTGACCCAAGCTTTTGATTGGTGTATCTTTTTTCTTTTTCTGATGTACATGGGATTTGTAGGACCTAGGAATTGTAAAAGCTCTGCCTCAGTAAATTAACAATTTCTACTTTCTAGTTTTTTAACAAAAGAAACACACGACAAAAAAAATATATATATATTCTTATATCTTATGTGATATCTTATATCCACCCCTTTTATTCATTGCACAAGAAATTGCGTCATTTCAGTTACAGTATTTACATCACTCAATTCTCAGTTATCCACATTAACTGTGATTTCTTTTATAGTATTTAAATCATTTCATAAGTATTTAAATATTCAAAATGTAATACCATCATTATTATTAACTGTCATACATCCTAACATTCAGGTTTTTTACTAAATATCTTTTTGAATGACATCACATCATGCCTCTTCACTCTTTTATCCCTTGAATAAGTCCATTCCTGAAAATAATTCTTTTTACCACAAAGATCCTTTGCATAATTTTTGTTTGTAATGTTTTTTTTTTGTTTTTTTTTTGTTTATTTAAGATTATAGTAACTATCTGTTTTCCCATCCTTTCTCGGATTATCCCTGGCTATATGTTTTCATTTGCTGTATACAAAACCTGGAGAATTGTGCAATATACTAAATCATGACCTTTTAATAACTTACATTTAAGAAGAAGTTGTTTAGAACAGTTTGTCACCATGTAATAAAGCTGGGTCATGAACAAGAATGAATTAGTTTAAAAAAACAAGTATAAAACCAATTTATTTCATACTGCAAACATTAGGAAAGTGATGCCAAACCAATCGGTTACAATTGATTGGTCGATCTTCAGATGATCATAGGTGGATCTCAAGTGCCTTCTTCACTATTACTTTTTTGCAATTGTTCTGTCAAATACAGCCATCTCCTGGTTTACTTATAACATTACAATTTAGGCTGGGAAAATGCCCCTCTGGGGGGTCTGCCAAGGAAAAAAAAAAATACCAGAAGTAAATTAGCTTAAAGAGAACAACATACCTTTACTGTTTGCAGTATTTCATTAGTAAGGGGTGTTTGTTATGTTTGTTTAATATCTACAACCAGGATTTCAATAGCAAAAAAAAAAAAAAGAAACATGTAAAGGAGTTTTTAAATTACTTATAACCTAGGAGAGGGATTATACAGCCAAATGTGTTGTAGTTTCAATCTTCCTTCAGCTTTCAAAAATGCCACTTAGAGCTGCAGACACTGTAATTTCTTCATGCGCACGACATGAAAAGCTCTTAAAGTTTTGGTGTCTTTACTTAGAAAATAAAATGGGTTACAAATCAGAAGGCGAACGGTAAGAAAACTTTCTGCTCCCATGCCTTGCAAAGCTCTGACTAAACTGGTGCTGCAAGTTATCAGTTACATCACTCTAAGAAATGCACAATGACATGAACTAAGAATGAAAGAAAATATAAACTGCAACTATGAATTTTACATAGTTTTTGCATATTCTATCTTTTTTGCTTTATGGCTCTTACAGTTACTACCAATGTTTAGAATTAGAGAATTACAGCCTCAACCAGCTTAATAGCAGTCCCTTCTTCTGAGACCAAATGCAAACTGAAAAAGCATCTACCACTGCATCATTTTGAGTAAGTCGCATTCCAGCAAAACAGAAAAAACAGTCGGACATTGCAAGTTGGTGAAGGGCTCTTTCTAGGGCGTACTTACAGTCTTTTTTTTTTAGAATTTGAACATTAAATATGAAATAATAAAAGTTAATAAGCACGTGCAGTTGTCCAGAAACTATCACAAGGCTTTGTGCAAAACATTCAAGAACAGCTCATGAAGGACATCAATGTCAGTTTTTTTTCCACTTTATTTTGATGAGTCCAAGGACATAACCAACATAATGCAACGGTTGTGGCCTTTCTGTAAACTTTTTTCTATTTCCACAGATGGAGCGACAGCTATGGTTGTTTTCCACAAATGTCTTCATAGCTTTATGTAAAAAATATGATGCTTTTTCTATCTTTTTCCACTACCACCTCCTCGTTACCCAACAAGCTCCAGGCTCCGTGAACATGCAGGACACTGACGTGGAGCATCTAGAGTTATTGCTGCATACTAATGTAGGGTAAACAAACAGAGGAAAAATTTTGGCACATTTTCTGCGCTGAAACCTTTTTTAGTCATAGTAAAGCTCCTCTGCTAAACAAGATCTGTGACCAGTGACTGATAAATTTGGCTTGAAAGGATGTGCCTTGCACATTGGCCAAGATAAGAACATTGCAGCAGAGTTTGAAAGACGATTCACAGACTTTGCCTCACCGCAGCCAGTTGTGGTGTACAAGTTTCCCATCTGACCCAGACATTGATGTGGATGAAATTCTCACTCTCAGTTCATCACATGCAGCAAATAACCAGCTTGCTCACCACAGTGGCTCGCTAGCCTCTCACCATCCTCAGAACCCATTTTGCATTCCTACGGTACACCAGCAACAACCTCACCACACTGCAAAAATGATCTCAAAATGAGTGAAAATGTCTTAAATTAAGGGTATTTACCCCTAATTTGAGCAGGTGGATAAGATTATTTGCCAATGGAATTAGTATTTTTACTCTTTAAATAAGGTATTTAGATATTATGCACTTGAAATAAGAAAATGCAATTGTTTTTTTTCTTATTTTAAGTGTAAATTGTCTTGTTCCATTGGCAGTCTCACTTAAATCCTTAATTCAAGAAAAAATGCACTTATTTAAAGAAACGATTACTAATTTAGATGTCATTTTTTTGCAGTGCACACATAACCCTGGCAACAGATAATTTACAACTCCCACTTCTTCCTATTCTCCATCAATTACCTCATTCTATGCACACCAAATATCTCTTTTTAGCATCTCAGTTAACATTTTGTTGTCAGATAGCCCTGGACCATATTTCTTCCTGTTTATGTAGTTCTGCAAGTTCAAGCAAGGACCAGTTTAAGGCCATCATTCCATACAGGGAAAAGAAAGAAATTAAATGGAACCACTTTTTTTCCCCCCTGCCAAACAGTACAAGAGCTAAATTCTGTTCCCAATCAGGACGAGACTTCTTTTATGCAGCCTGTAGGATTGGTAAAAAAGATGATCCAATTTGGTGATAACCAAGGTGGCAAATCTTACCTTATGTAGTGCCTGAATGAGAGATGTCTACCTCTCAGGAAAGTGGGCTGTTTTGTGTTTACTACTTGTAACCACATTAAGTCTATAAACAGGATTTAAATTTTTACCATCTTGGTACAGCTTCCATTTTCTGTGTCAACATGCAAATGTGAAGTCTTCTCCCCTCTACATTATCCCATTACAGCAAGGACTTTTATTGTTTCCACCGGTACTAGAGGTAAGTGTATAGTGTATGACAAGGACACATACATTTATCATTTATTATAAATCAAATTGTGCTGCACATTCACTTGGGCCATATTTTTTCTTTGCTGCCAAATTGTAATTTAGAGTACTAGCTATTACACATTGTCACATTTTCCTTAAAGATATGGTGGAGGATTTTTGCAAATTTTTAAAAAAGACCTGCCCTCTCCACTTAAAAAAAAAAATGTATGCACAACCCTGTAACTACTCCCGAGAGGGAACATCTATTAAACACGTGCAAGCGCTTTCACAAGCTAATTTGTACTTGTGCACTCGCTGTTTAAAAGTTGCTGTTTACTTATGTTCCAAAAGAAGAATTGCAATTTTTCCACTATGTTAGACTCACCACCAGTAAATTAAAATGGGGACAGGCACTTAGGACGGCCTTACGTAAACGCATCACCAGAATGAGTCACAATAAGGAGGACCACTTATTTTGATAATCCACCCGGAAAAAGTACATCCTCCACTATACCTTTAAGCCAGTATTGTTGGTAAAGAGGATGTTGACTTAAAACGTCTAAATTTAAGATTATAATAAGTCACCATGCTCCTCAGTGTGTTTCATTTTTATTTTGAACTGTTCAATCTGTTTCAATTCTTCGAGCTCAACTCAGGACACACAGAAGGAACACCAGGGTGCACAGAGATTTGCTATGTCTATGTTTTGTATTAAGGGCTTAATATACCTGTCAAGTTTTGGTTCAGAAAATTCTGTCAATTTTAGGACACATGCTACCCCAGTCAAGCTTCAGTATCCATTATACGTATATTACATTTCTGTCATTAAATCTCTGTAATTATTACACATTGTAGCTTTAAAGGAACTTTTCAAATAGTTTGTTTTATGGGCAATTTTTAAACTACAAAGAAATGTAACTAGTCTTCCCAGTTGCAGCAAATCAAAGAAAAATGTTATAGCCTTGTTATATGAGAAGCATGTACATTTCAACCACAAAATCTGCAGGTATGGCGTCCAAATGCCAGGCTTAGTGTTAGTAGTGTCAGTATTACTGTTGTTTATTATTACAGCAAACAATTGTAAAGGGCAACTTTTCAATGTTCAAATAATAAATGTGGTCTGTGGTTCACACTGTTTTAGCTGAAATACTTCTATATATTTGCACATTATTAAACAATCTTTTCTTGCCAACTAGCTCAAAAATCAATCACTCTTTAAACAGATATGTCAAAGTTGCCACAGGACATGAATTCTCATCTTCCTAATTTTACACTATTGATTTTTATTTTGTCAATATCAGTTTCATCTGTTCTTACTTAATACCTTTTTCTTTCTTTACAATGACTGTGATTATTTCCTTCAGTCAGAATCTAATTTTATGTCTTAGTTTGTTTGTAACAAAGACTCAGCAAACGCAAGTCATAAAATAGTAAAAAGTTTAGTAGATAGTAAAAATGTTTGTACGTTTTTAAAATGATAGTTTTGATCAGTATTTGTTATTGTAACTTTTTCTTTGATCTATAGTGAGTCTCTAAGTGAGTTTTTTCGATTCATAATATGCTTACCTGTGTATTACTTTCTACAAAGCAACTATAATTATTCAGCTAAAGGGAATAAAACTAATTTACGACTAACAAAGGGGTGGTACTTAAATCTAGATTTTATAATGATTAAAAATTTAAATAATTGATTACCTAATAGTATATATTCTGAATATGTGCAGACCTATTGACTTTTAGAAGTATTGTCAAACAAAAGATTGATTTGGATTCAGGAAACTTTATTAGTCACAAAGGGCAATTCATTTGTGGCAAACCACAAAACAGAACATTGCAAAAATCACAAATAGTTACTCACTAAGCATCATTCCCAACAGTTTAAACCTGAGTAGATGCTCAAAGAGCACAATTAAGAAAACAATTCACATTTCAATTTTTTTTTTTAATAGAAAATAGATAATCCCTTTAGTGTCCCACAGTAGGGGAATTGTGGTAATAATAGAAGTTGTCACACAATGTACACCTTAAAAAAGT